TTGGGTTGGGGGAGAGGAGGGGACGTGCGTCTGAACACAGGGGGGAAGCTTACCTGCTTTGGGAAACTTTAAAAAGTCCCCAGAGGCTCCTACAGCCCAGTTTTCCTTCACTAGTGGTTTGCGGCGGGGGAGAGGCTGGGAGTAGGGGTGCAACCACCCCATCAGCATGGGTGGCTGCTCTTGCCAAATCCTGGATCTGCCCCTGACTGCAGCTATCCACCTAGGCAGGCCTGGGAGAAGGATGCAGGTTCTAGGCCCAAATGCATGGCATATTGCCAGGAGTGGGGAAAGGAGGGAAAATACTAATGTTTAATTGTTTGCCTATGTGCTGCCCCACCCTTCCCCCACCAGCTTGTTGGTGCTGCCTTACAGGGTGGGGACTTAAACCCCAGTGAATCAGAAGACGGATCAGTCCTTTCTTCTGCTGAAAATGCAACTTGTCCCGTGTCCATTGGCCCCACTCCGTTGCATTGGTCTCTGACCATGCTTCTCCACATGTATGTAGCTTTCTGAGTGTGGAGGAGGGGCCTGGGTGGTCAGTGTAGACTACATCCTTGCTGTGCCCTTATGCAGCCCCAGGCACTCAGCTGATAGGAATACCTTTGCCTTCCAGAGTGCCAACCAGCCCCGCCTGTCCTATGGAGAGATGGCTGAGGACTATCCCCGCTATCCAGATATTCATGACCTGGACCTCACGCTGCTCAACCCACGCATGATAGTGGTAAGAGAAGCTGACCAGGAGCTTGTTTCTGTGTTGTAGCACCCTCTTTGTGAGGCACAGAAATGTTCAAATACCTTTTTAAAAAGGTTCTTCCATAACCTCGGGTTGAGCAAACCCAATAGGAGAGCTCAGTGCCATTCTCTATGTCTGTCCCCCTTGTAGTGGTACTTTATGTATAGGTGCAGATGCAAATCCGCTGTGGATGATGGTGACCAAAAAGCCATGTTCCACTACCGTCTGCCAGCCTCGGGACGTGTGTGTGTAGGAAAACTGCGTGGAACAGCAATTCTGCAACAGCTCCCTGTGTGGACACTCTTATTCCAGATTTAAGGGGGCATTTTGGACCAGGACAACTTAATCTGCTTTCATATCACTTTGACTTGTGGTCTAAGTGAGAAGAAATGGGTTTGGGTCTTGGGTTTGAGCAAAACACAAGATATTGGCAATCTCTCTACTCCAGGTAGGGCTTGAGAAAACTTAGCACTTGCCCAGTCAATTGGACAAACAGCAGTCAGAAGTTCATGGCAGCACTGAACCCTATTTTAGGATGGGGTGTGTAGAAATAAAAGGATTTTGGGGTCATCTCCCCTGTACAGAGAAGGAGAACTTGGAGTCAGCAGTTAGGTGCCTTGGCAACCCCATGTCAGCTTCTAGGGCCACCAACGCCTGCTGTACACTAATTGAACCCCTTGTTTTATTTTTCCTCTAGGATGTCACCCCGTATATGAACCCATCTCCTTTCACAGTCTCCCCAAACACTCATGTCTCACAAGTCTTCAATCTGTTCAGGACCATGGGGCTCAGACACTTACCTGTTGTGAATGCTGTGGGAGAGGTGAGTTCTGGTGGAGGGATGTGCTGTCCCTACCACCCTTAACATGAGCAGGAGAATCTGTTAATGGACACATTTGGGCATCTGGATGTCAATGGGAAGTGGTGCTCGCTTCCACCCTAGGGGTCTTCAAAAGGAGGTTAGACAATCACCTAGCTGGCGTCGTTTGACCCCAGCATTCATTCCTGCCCATGGCTGTGTGTGAGTATGAGGCACTGTCCTGTCTGTGGGCTGGATTCAGCCCTGGTTGGCTACCTCAGGAAGCTTTTCCTGATTGATTCCACTCCCAGATCTTGGACCACTTTACAGAACTCTTCACAGATAGCACTATTTAGGCCAGAATGAGCCCTGGTTATAAGATACTTGAGTACCGAGTGAAGACACCATGACTGGTGATTTTGCATTGTATTCCTTCAGGAGGTAGAAAGCACAGAAATGACAGAGTGGGGGTTTAGGCAGATACCAATTACACTGGAATCCTTTGACATCAGTGCAAGCTGTTACCATGCAACTGTCATGTGCGCATGCCTCTGTAAGGATGTAAGGGCAGAAACAGGCATTGCCTGATGTCTCATTTGTCCCGCCATAAATATGTTTCTGGCGACCTAAATGGTGAGCCCATAGACATTGCTACCCTTTTGCACCGTGTTAAAGAATAAATCAGTGGTGTGGCAGACACTTAGCTTTGTGGCAGGAAGGTAGAGCAGCCTGAGCTGTTTCTACTGTCTAGCCACTGTGGTTTTGAAGGCTCTGGGGTTTTCCTCAAGCTCCAGGGGCACCTGCCTGCTGTCCCTGCTTAGAGAGGCAACCCAGGGAATCTGGGGTGCCTCTCTGTAAGTGGGAAAGTTGTGGTTCCCTGCTCAGCCAGACCTATCCCCCTCAATCACAGGAGCAAGTCTGGCTGAGCAGGGAAAGGCCCTTTCCTGCTCAGCCATGTATTCTCCCCACCAATCATTGGGGACAGGTCTGGGTGAGAAGAGAGATCAGGTTGCCCTTGTCCTCCACCATTAATGGTGGGACAAGGGGCGATGTGTGTTTCAGCTGATAAAGCAATCAGCTGTGCCAGGATACATTACAGTATGACTGATCAGCTTCATTAGTCACCATCTATTTCTAGCCTGAGCATAGCAAAAACCATGATAACTTCAGCTCTGTTTCAGTCAGATTTGGCACACGTGTGTGTTCCTGTAGTGATACCTGCAACAAGCACTTCCTAACAGCTGATGCACGCTCTCAAGCAGACATTCCCCTTTGCCTCACTGAACTTAATTGCTTTTGACATCTTGTCCTGGCACCTTCAGTAGCCAAAAGTGACCAGTAGGTGTCATCAGCTTCCCATAAACCAAGCATCAACCTCCTTCATTTTAATCCAAGAGCTGGATTAGAAAGTCCTCCAAGTGCAGCTAGGAGTTGCTAGGGACATTTATACACATACATTTGTGTGCTCCGATGTGCCAGAGATTCGGTGTGTTGGAGCAGATTTGATTAATTGAGTCTGCTCTGCACACAAGCTGATGCGCCTGGCACTGCATCGCATACATTTGTATAAACGTGTCAGCGCTCAGAAAATGGCAGCAGTGCACTTTTGAGCTAGAACATCGTTGATGTGTTTTAGTTCAAGACCATGCCACCGCCATTTTCTCAGCACTGACACACATTTTGCCGCTTATACAAATGTATGCATTGCAGGGCCGGGTGCTTTTGAAACATGTACAAATGCCCTAAAGGCTCAGCCAGATGTGGCAAGAGAGAGACAGGAAGAGGTGTCTCTGAGCCTGCCAGCTGATGGTACAAGCTCTTGCTGGTGCTTACGTGTTTTGTCCAAAACACCTCTGTGGAAGAATGTGGAAACGGGCTGAGTGCTGGGTTCTATCCCCTATCTAGTGGTTCAGCCTCTGCCCAGACTGCAAGGCTTCAGCCTCTGCCACCAGAGTCCTTGTGGAGATTTGAGGGTCTCCTCCAAGCCCTGGCCCACAGTGCTGACTGGTAGGCACCCAGCAGTTGCACACTCGGGCACCAGTGAGCCCTCATACTCACACACATATACACCTGCCTTGAAAAAGTTGGGGTTATTATAGGGCACATGCCAGTTAAATCACAGAAGCTGAAAGTTGGTGACTTAAGGTCTTCTCTCCACCTTACTGCACTTAGGTCTGTTAAAGGGGGGATTTCCCTATTAACATAGATTTGCTAGCTGCATGGGTTAGCTTTTCCTGTGTGCCCAGGGAACTGAGCTGTTACATCCCCATTGCCATGCTGCTCCCACTGCAGTCTGCTGGTGTCCCTCACGTGGAATGTGGGTGCAGAACAGCGGAGAGGTGGGAAATCGTACTGGGGCAGAGGGAATTTGCACTGGCTTCCACTCTACGTTCACACCCAGCTTCTCTGAGAACTACTTTTCTCCCTCGGCTCTCAAGTCAGACAAAAAGCTCCCTGTACTGCACCCTTTGCTTGTGGGCACCCCAACTGTGAGTGACTGGGGCATCCTTCTGTCTCCTCCAAACAGATCGTGGGAATCATCACTCGACACAACCTGACGCACGAGTTTCTGCAGGCGCGGCTCAGGCAGCACTACCAGACCCTCTGACCCTGCCCCAACCCAGCCTGGTGCCACCCCCTCCATCACACACCCACATTCCACTTGGACCCCAGATGGCCGACTTGCTGAGCGGCTCCTCGCGCACGGAGGCTGGGGACTGAAGACCACCTGGCTGGCCAGAGGATCAAGGAAACACCTGCGCCTGAAGCTTTTGGCTGGCCTAGAGAGGCATTTCATTGACCACTCTGAGTCCCAAAACATCGCTCCTTCCCTGCCCCTGCCAAGTCTGGCATCAGGTGTTGCCCTGGCACTGCTCTGCCGACAGGGTAAAAACCATGCTCCCCTACCTCCTTGTTCATTCCGTCTCCCTCCTTGCTCCTGCAGCAGTTGCCTTACTCACATGAGAAGGGGCCATTGCCATGGCTGAGATCAGACACTGCAATTTGCTAACAAAGAGCCCACACCTAGGTGAATGGCTATTCCCAGAATGGGGCATTCAACCCCTCACCTCTTTGGGGGATTGCTCCCTCCCCCTGGGAGACCCCAGTTTTTCTCTGGTGTTATGTCTGTTCGTGTCACTTCTTCAAGCTCCTTCCTTCCCTTCCAGTGCTGGGATCCCTGCTGCCCCGCTGCTCTCAGCAGTCAGCTGCTGGTGCAAGTCAGGAATCCACAGTAGCTTGTAGCCATGCCTCTTCTGGATGAGGAATGCTTCACAGTGACATGAGAAAGTGATCCCAGCCCCTCACCCCCTTAGCTGTGGCCAAGGATTCCCCTTGGAAGAGGGCTTTTATAGGGTATTCTTGTTTTCTCCTGTAACGCAGCGGAATGCCTCATAGGAGTGTTATACAGGCATCGTGGCCTGCTGTCTCGGTCCAGGCCTGGGGATCCCAGGGTGTTTTCATTGCTAGAGCTATGGAGAGGGAGGAAGGGCTACTTCCTCACTCCCCAGAGGAATGTGTTGCTCCTCCTGCTTAAATTCACAGGCTTCTCCCAGCTGCTGCCCCCATCCACTGGCTCAGTCCACATCATCCCTGCTGTGGGCAGCAGAGGTGTGATGTTGACAGGGCAGCAGGGGCACTCAAGGCTTGTGATTGCTGGGCTCGAGAGCAGCAGTGGTAGGGGCTGTCCACAGCTCCCAGTGCACCAGGATCTTGGCGGCAGCAGAATCGCCTGGAGGGCCAAGGCAGCACTTCGGAGCCAGTCGCAGCCAGTCTGGTGCCTCAACAGGTACCATCCTGGCCAGCACCTGTATTGTTCCAGCAGGCTCCTGCCCTTGTGGGTTTGCATTCAGATAACCCTCTGTGGGAAGCTGGCCTCGTTGCCTCCAGGGGCCCAGGCTCTGATGGGCTTGATAAAGCACAGAGCTTTTTTGTGTTGCTCCCTTGGAGAGGCTGGGCTGAGGAGCCTGGGGAATGCTTCTGAGGAAGGCTTCCCTGCAGTCCTGTTAACCTGTTGGGTGCCAAGAGGACTTTGCTGGCAGTGTGGCTGCGGCAGGAAGTGTCTGGGTTTCTGGCTTGTTGGGAGCTATCTGGAGGGCAGAAGTCACCATTTCTGTGTCCTCTGTGCAGGGGTTGCTTGGAGTTGTGATCTGGGGAGCATCTGGCCTCTTCAGACTGAATCTGGTGGGGCCTGTGGTGCTCTGGTTTGCTTGCAATGAGGTGGCAGGAGTGCCCCACTCTGGACAGCTCTTGGGACAGCCTCTGCCTTGGGGTGTGGGAGGGGATACTCCAGGTGACCAAGCTGGTTTCAGAGCAGATCTAATCTGTGTAGGGTGGCAGTGTGAATAGACCCAAGCTGTAGGATCTGGGTGCAGTTGATCTTTGCAGGTAGAAGAGTTGTTGCAGGAGGAAGGCACAGTGCAGGCCAAGGCTGGGTTATTGGCTCCTTGCTGCCATTGGCAAGTCCCTGGAGGGTCTGCCGCAGCGTCTCCCGTGAGAGCTTGTCAACCTTCTCCAGACCTCTCCCTTTCTGTTCCCTCACTGGAGGCTGATAGCAGATCCCTCTGGCTGAGCCCTGCTTCAGTGCTCAGAACAGGCAAAGGCTGTGCCATCCAGAGTATGATGAGATAAGCCTGATGCCAGTCATGGCACCCTTGCCCTCAGCCTCCAGCTCCTCTGGTTGTCTGGACGCTGTTGGAACCATGCCTTCTGGCTTGGGGATGCCCTCTGGGGTGGGAGTTTAAACCCATTTCCACCACCTTCCAACTGCCTTTCTGTGCCACCACTACTCTGAGCAGTCCTGCTCACTTGTAGGAGCCTTCTCTGCTTAGTTCAGGTGAGGTGTGAGCCCCACAGCGTGAAGCAAAGGGATCTTAGTGCTAGCCCCTCTATCTTGTGCCTTCACTCAGACTGCATCGCTGGGTGGGAGTAGTATTGCTGTGCTCCTCAGGGCCATCTTCATTCCCAAAGGCAGCTGTCTTAGCTGCCTATGCCATGTTAGTCTAAATAGCTACCCAGGGAACAGATTTGAGCATGTGCTCCTGCCTTGTGGGAGGATTTCTGTGACCCCCCCCCCCCCCCCG